TGGGTTAAATGCAGAGCACTAATTCCTAGTATGGGTCACCATACTTGGCCACATGTCACTTTCACTTTCACTTTCATATATATATATATATATATATATATATATGAACTAAGATGAGTGACAGCTTTTTAGTGATTATGAGCACTCTTTGCGCCATAACAACGGACACCTGTATATATATATATACATATACATAATCGCTAAAAAGCTGTCACTCATCTCAGTTCATCGCAATCTCACAAAGATATGTTACAAAGATATGTTATTATCAATAAAGTTCTCTACGCTGCACAACGCATCAACACATTTATTATAATGAGATGATTCGTGCTGAACACAATACCGGAACAAAAACTCCGGTGATTTCAGCGGTGAGTGGATTCAACAGATTTGTCCGTGATTGGCTACATTGCTCAACGCTGCAAAAAAAACATTGACATAGAAATCGATCTCCAGAGCGCAAACCATAACGCACTGGATAGTTTGCCAAATATTCAATAAAATCCCATTAATACAGCTTTAACTGAGGGTGCTTTTGATTTCGTTTGAGGGTGCTCTAGCACCCCGTAAAACCGGGCCTGTGTTTACTACTGTGTGTGCACTTGGATTGGTTAAATTCAGAGCACAAATTCAGAGTATGGGTCACCATACTTGGCCACACTTCACTTTCACTTTCATATTGTGGTTACCTTGCATGAGTTGTGTGGGCCTGGTAACAGGAACTCCATCAAGTGAACACAGGTGCCCGCATGGGTCAAGAGTGATGACCCCTCCTCTGTTCTCAATCCTGCAGTGTTCTGCTTCAATGCCGGGACCCTCAATAGCAATGTCCTGAGGTACAGGGGCATCGTCACGGCCTATGCGTGTTATTCCTGTAATAAAAAGCAATTCAATTTGTAACTGTAGTGTAAGTGCAAGCTTTCAGTGCCGCTGTGAGTTTGATTTAAATTAATGTTGACTGCAAGAAATGTAAGACTGTAAATACATATGTCTGCAGTGTGGTTATCTATATTTAATCAGTTCATCCATAAATCCTGCATATTGTGCTGCTGTTAGTTCAGCCGTAAGGTTTATTCAGTGCCAAAAAATTCTCACCAACTCTGAGGCTTTACATTTTTACCCCCTGGGGGCTTTTTTAAATTGAATTTTGATGAAAATGTACACTTGAAGTAGGCTTTTAAAGTTGTCGGTGATTTACAAGCAATGTTAAGGTAAACCGTGGCTAGGGCTCCAGACTAAATATTATTAAGGACAAATATTCGAAGGGTTTATTTTGGGTATATTTAGTATAAATTTAGTTTGAAATGGTATTCATGGTACTCAGTCTTACAAAAACGTTCACATCAATATACTATACAAAAAATAACCAATACTAATAATTTATTTCAATAAATTTTTTAATGAATTGCTAATAATAATTAAATAATTCTTCATAATAATTTCAATAAAACTGTGTTGTGAATATATATTTTAATTACATGGTGCCATATGAACAACCAGTCAGTAAATGAACTCAAATCTATCACAGCAACAGATCATTTTGAATCAGACATAACTATAAAATGACTCCGTTAGGGAGTCATTTGTGAACTATTTGTTACTTGTGAAGAAACGCTTCTGAATGATTTTAACCTATGAGTTTGAAACAATTTTGTGATTTTTTTTTTTATGACTGATTCAAAAGAATCAGTTCATAGGAGTCATTTCTTCGTGAATTGGACTCTACGGCTCACGCTTGTGTGTTTGTTGAATGCAGGAAACCCTTGTTTGCGCTCTTGACATTTGACAAAAATGCATCCAAAGTCATCAGGATTGTCGCCAGTGACAAAATGATTTAAATTATCATAAATTGTTTTTTTAATTGTTTTTTTTCTCCTTCTTAATTTTTGCCAATTTTAGTCACAGTTTGGAGACTTGTTGCTGGCATGGAGATGTAACTGTTCCAAGGAATGGTGTGTGTGTTTCTGTTTTACATTCCCACTCTTCTCTGGCCTCTGCTAGATCACACACTCAGCCAGTGACGCAAATCACCCCCTTACAGCTTTACTTCATCACTTCACAGTCTATTACTAACGAATATGGTCAAATATTTGCTCTTTTTATATCAAAACATAATTAGACTGCCTTGAAATAGCAAGTTTAAATCAGTCTTTGTGTGTGTTCAGTACTATGGCGGTACTGTAATACTTGTGACTTTATTACTCCGTCCCACTGGGAGGAAGTCAGCTTGACTCCTTGTCCTGTCTCTATTCTGATAGGTTGCACACTTCATTTCCTGCACCATTCTCAGATTGCATTCCAGCGTTTACCATGGTGACTGTGATAAGAGGGGCGAGGAATGAGCAAGGGCCATATGCACAGACGTGGTGTCATCAGAACAAGTCTGACACCTGTGTGTAATCAGACACAGGTGGACCCTTCTTATTGCTTCTTTAAGGTAAAGATTAAATAAGATGCACCGGGTTCCGGCTTTACATGCCATCCTTCCACCCTCTTCCTCTATGATAACCTAAGTGCACTAACAATAAAAGCCACATGCATCCACTGTTTCATGAAGGCACACATAGATAGAGGGGCTTATTTACAGATCTATTCTTTGCAGGCTATTGTTCATGGTTATTTGGGTTTGTGTGTGAGGGAGGGAGATCGGGAGATAGATAGACAGACTCAAACAGAGAGAAAAAAAAGCACATACCCTCCTTTAGAGGTAGTAGAGTTATGGCTACACTGAGTCTTCCGCTGCCCAGGCTGACCAGGTGAGGGGTCGCAGTTTGTACCTTCAGTCCTTTTCCTGTGTCAATCAGGTCCAGTGGTGGACTCTGAAACAGTGCATTACAGCTCATTAATAGTTCCTACCTCAAAGAACAGAAGAACAAATGGTCCACTAACCTTAGGAGAACCGAGTCTCTGATCTGACTCTAGTTCGAGGACACTCGCCGGGGAGTTTGGCTCTGTATCCTGTACCACACAAGAAGAACAAAGAGCTGATATGTTTAAACATATACATACTTGTTGTATAATCATCAAAGGGCTTTACAGACTTAACTTCTCAGAAAATATGACGTGTACTTAACCGAAATATTTAACTTATACTTAAAATTATTCTAACATTTTTATTCACTTATTTTCACCGTTTCTTAAAGGGGTCATATGATGCTGCTAAAAAGAACATTATTTTGTGTATTTCGTGTAATGAAATGTGTTTATGCGGTTTAAGGTTCAAAAAACACATTATTGCACAAATACAAATTTAGCTGGTAAGATTTTGTAACGTTTTTGAAAGAAGTCTCTTACGCTCACCAAGGCTGCATTTATTTGATCAAAAATACAGTAAAAGCAGTAAAATTGTGAAATATTATTTCCATTTAAATTTAAAGTTTTCTATTTCAATATATTTTAAAATGTAATTTATTTCTCTGATGGCAAATATGATTTTTTAGCAGCCATTACTCTAGTATTCAGTATCACATGATCCTTCAGAATCATTCTAATATGCTGATTTGGCACTCAAAACATTTCATAATATTATCAGTTTAAATTTGATGTTCTGCTAAATATTTTTGTGGAAACTGTGCTACATTTTTTCAGGATTCTTTAACAACAATTTATTTGAAGTGGAAATCTTTTGTAACATTATAAATGCCTTTAATATTTTTTTGTAAATAATGAGATACATTTGTGGATTCATAACACCTGCAATACAGTGCATGAGTACTTAAATTCTATTTTATATTGTGCTTTTTTTTTTTTTTTTTAGAGACAAACAGTGCCTGTCAATCTTCAGCATTCATTGTATGGAAAAGAGCAGAAAGAACATTGAATTCCTTCTTTTGTGTTCCAGAATTAATACTTTAGAAGAAGGTAAAGTAAATAAAGACAAGAATGCAATTTTAGGGTTAACTAACCCCTTAAAATAACCCTAATAAGTTCTAATCAATTGTCCTTCCACTATGTCTGTATGATGTTTAGAAAATTATACTTTATTTACTCCAACATGATGGTTTAGATCATGTAAAGCCAACATTAGCAAACAATTGCTGGTTATCTATCAGTTCTAGCTTGAACACCATTGAGTGAATACAGATAAGAAAAAAGCTATTATGTTTAATGGCACTCCAGTAACAAGATAGGTACAGCAAAGACACTCACAATCAAGCCCCTGAAGGCCATAAACATCAGAGCGAACATACTCACAATCTAATCCAGCAGCCACACGTAACATAGGTTGGAATGTTTGTGAAAACAATCCCAAAGGAGCAAAAAACAGGAATGTGGGAGGAAAAGGCAGGAATGTTCCATGCCTATTATTTCCCACAAGTCACTGGGAGTGTTTGGTATACCATGCCAATGGAGATATGGTGAGAAATGGCCTTTGCTTTGGTCCTGCCATCCCAGATTTGCAGTTACCATAGAGAGGGGCTTATGTACATTTCTGCTGACCCTGCTCAGATTCATACATATACATAGAGAGAGATGTAGCGAAAAGTATTTGGACACTTAAGACTCTAGAGTTAAACTCTAATAATTTCATTCCATTAGAAACCCAAAATATCAAACCATGTGGTTACAAATGCTAAATGCTGTTGGACTGCAGAACTAGTTCCAATATGATTTTTAGTGAAGTCAGTTTGACTCAATTTAGGACCTTTTTGTGTTGTGTTTCTTGAGTGTCCACATACTTTTTTTGGGTTCTCCAGACCTGAAAGCAGGAATTGCATGTGCCATCTGACCATTACCGCCTCACGCTGTTCCCGTTTCCTCAGATACAAAACTGACTTCCTGAATGAGGTCACTGCTGTTCAAACACCCTCATTTCCAATCCACACGCCAGGGTCCAATCAGAGTGCACCTACAACCATGATTCTATACTACTGTTTGCCATGATAGTAACATGTTAGCAGTGCAGTTATGCTTGTACGTTTATACACTCGGAATCTGTAAGTTTTATATTTAAAAGTGATCATAAAAACGTTTTATTTTATTTTATTTATTTATTTTATTTAGCACTGCCCTAATATATGTGATAAAACATTTACTAAACAAACACACAAGGAATGGGAAATATGTACAACTTTTTAGGCCTGCTTAAGTGCACCATTTTTAAAAAGTTTGAGCTAAGTTTTTTTTTAATGCTTTTGAACGAAGCATATTTTGCTTACCAAGGCTGCAATTATTTAATCAAAAATAGGTATTATATAAATATTATAATATTATTACAATTTAAAATAATTAAAAACAATTTAATAAAACAATTTATTTGAAATAGAATATTTTGTAACGTTATAAATATGTATTTTTGTCACTTTCGATCAATTGAATGCAACCTTGTTTAATAAAAGTAATAATTTTTTTTTTTTTTTTAATTACTAACCCCAAACTTTTTAATTATAGTGTATTTAGATAAGGTAAACTCACTTGATTTAAAGTGAACAGAAATTAAACAGCACTGCATTAAATTCAAACTGAGGATAATTTACTTATGTAAAAAAAGTTCAACTTTAAGTTCTTTAAGTCCTTTTAGATATTTAAGACCCTAAGTTCATGTCTGGCCACATCCCAAGAGGGCACTTGACAATAACATGACCTACTTTACAGCTCAACAACAATTGCACATGAACCATAAACCCCTTCCTCAACTTTCTTTGCCCTCTTTCCTGACAGGTAGACAAGCGTGTCCCTGCAGGAATGTCCCAGTGTTTTGCTTCTGAGAGCTACTTTGGTATGTCACCCCAGGATCAAAATACCATCTACATTCCTCTCTAGCACCTCTCCATCCAATCAGCTCTTGGGATTATAGATGTGGGCAACTGTGGGGCGATAAGGGCAGGTTTGCTGTTTAAACACTGGCTGATCTTTGTTAGATGACCCTGACTATGGCTTTAGTCATCAAGACCTCTTTATTCAGGTGGAAGCTGCAATGTTCAGGCATGTTCAGACATCTACAGAAAACAAAGAAGCCAGACTGTTCATAAAGACTGCGGAGGGTCATTTACATGCAGGAAAGAAATCAAATGGGGGAAGGAAGAGGGGGAGAGTGTTAATTTGAAAACAACATTTATTTTATGAGCCACTGAGACAGGATGAAAGATAAGACTGTGGAGACAGACTCGGAGAGAAAGACAGGAGTGTTACAAGGACATTGAGACTTTAGATCTATGATGAAGAAACAGAAGAAGCAGGCAAAGCCAGAATTTGACACAAAGGGCTTTTTGAGTCCTTGTGATTTATGCAAGACATGATGTGGGAGAACATTCCTGACAACTCCATCGACTCATGTGCTGTAATGCACATGGATGATCAAAGAAGGATCACACATTCAAGTCTCACCCAGAGTTGCAGGACGGGTGGTGACAGCCACACACAAGGTTAGCATTTCGGCAGACGGGTGGGAGATTTAAAAAGGGAAACGGTCTGTCAACCTCCCCCTGTTTTCATTCCTTTCCCTCATCAGATCTAACAAGAACACTGGTAGAAACACGGTCGCTTTCCAGGTCATTTCCAAATGCGTTTGGCGTAGGCTGATCTTGGTTGTGATGGTTGGGTTCCTCTTTCATATGCGCTGTGTTTGGAATGGAATACTAGCTTACTATTTACTGTGTACTGCCACCCTTAAAAATACAATTCTTTATTGTCAACTATGGTCCCATAGAGAACCTTTAACATTCATGAAATCTTTATTCACTGAAAGGTCCTTTGGGGTGAATAGTTCTTAAAAGAACCATATATAAATTGATCTTCTATGGTTCTTCTGTGAGAATCCCTTTTTGGAACCTTTATTTTAAGGGCTCTGATATTATTTATTCATTGTAGGCATTATAGTACAATCCAAATTTCAAATATTAGCATGCTACATTGTTGTCACATGACCTCATCACAGGTGAGCTCTGTTGTATATGGTACATTTTGGCAAATGTATTGCATGCAGTGCATACATACTGCTGGAATAGTACAGCAATATTTAGCGCCACAGCAAAATAAATCAGTAGTGATATGATGTCTTCACAGACTAAATGCAAAAACAAAATACAATGTGAGCCAGCTCGATTCACTAAACAAGTAACTCTTATGAACCAGTTCTTTTTAGTGAATCAACAACATGCAGCAACATAGTCTGATTCATGAACAAATGACCCTTATCAGCCTGTTCTTTTAAGTGAATCAAAATTATACAGTGCAACCAATGTAGTCTGATTCCTGGAAAAATGACTCTTGTGAGCAAGTCATTTTTAGTGACTCTAAATTGTACATCGTGTCCAGTGTAGTCTGATTCACCTTACGAGCCTGTTCTTTTAAATGAATCAAAATTGTAAGTGTAGTCTGATTCCTGAAATAATGGTTCTATTTACTGAATAAGTGAACTACAATTGTACAGTGCAACCTGTGTAGTCCGAATGACCCTTTTTAGTGAATCAGAAATGCACATCGCAAAAAGTGTATCCTGATTCATGAACAAATTACTCTCTTGAGCTGGTTCTTTTTATTGAGTGAAAAACATGCAGCACAACCAGTATAGTCTGATTCCTGAATTAATTACTCTTGTGAGCTGATTCTTTTAATAATTCAAAAAGCAACTAACCGCTTTAATAGGATTCAGTCTGACAGTCCCTCGTTGAGCGGCTACTGAATCAACATCTGACTCACTAAACTGATTGTTATAATTATTTTCAGTGATGTCCATGTCGAAATGAAGCTTTCAGATTTGCAACGATCTCTAACATAGAATAAATGAAGGGATATTCATACATAGCCTTAGATACAAGAAATGTCATGAATGCAGGCTTTGTGTTGGCTCTGAAATTATAGTGCCATGTTAAAGAGATACTTTGACATGTTTGCCTTTTATTAGGGGTCATCATCTTTTGATTAAAGGTCACGCACTCGCCTCTTTAACAATATCAGCATAGAAAACCCATCTGATCTCTCAAAGGTGGCGAAGCAGCGCTGCTTATTTAGTCCAGTCTGTCACATGTGACAATGATCTCATTGTGCCTGGACCTCAGCTTAATATGGGATTCCCTTCATGGCATGCAGCTCATTTACGAAGGGTTGAAGCAGCCCCCTTGCTTCCCCTGGACACACTTAATGATGCGAGATCTTTTAGGTAGACAAACCCCTCTCTGTTCTGAGTTTCCTTTCCCCTGGACGCACTTAATGATGCGAGATCTTTTAGGTAGAAAAACCCCTCTCTGTTCTGAGTTTCCTCCCCTTCTAGTCTTTCACTGACTATCAGGCCACTGAAAATCATTATGTTGCATTAGGAGGGTGATATTAATGTTGTTATGTTTAAAAATAACAACAGTTAACTATAAAGACCACAATTGCGACAGCAATTTGGAAGATTTTGTAGAGGTAGGGCGAATGTGACTTGCAGATATAAATTGCTTTTCAATAAAAAGACGTGAGGAACTGAATAAATAATTGGTCTAATGCAAGATTTCAAAAATTGTCTGTAAAAATATATTAAGACCTTTTAAATCATTAGCCTCAAATTCCAAAGTTAACAAATGAAAGAGTGTGGAATGTTGTTACAGCTGCATCTGGCTACAGGAATAAGAACGTAAGGAAATCCACATTAGGCTGCAAAACCTTGCGTAATATTATTCTATCAGTATTCCTCTAAAGCTCTTTTAATTTCTTTTACACATAAAGCCAATTTAAACAGTCAGTCTATTTGAAAACTTGTTGAATTTTCTACATTGTACAAGTTAATGTTTTAACAAAATGTTGACATTAACACTCACTACACTAAAACCACTTGTTTAATTATTAACAGTACATAATATCATTTTATATATGAAATTTTATATAGAAATTTGTGTTTAAAGATGAAAGTAATGTACTATATTTCTTTCAATAATATTTAATTGTATATATTTTGTATTTTAATTAAGAAACATTTAATTCTATAAAATACTACAAATTTTAGGAATATATTTTTTCCAGACATAATTACTTTTATTACGTTTTGCATTTGGATATATATTTAGACATTATCAAAGACTACTTCAGTGTAAGACAATTTAGACTTTTCTAATCATCTGATTTGTGTACATATAGCAAGTGCCACAAAAGTCATACCAAAAGTTTCATACCATTGAGATGAAGTAAAAAATTGTACAAATTCAGAACATAAAATGTCACCAGATGGTTAAAAATGTTCTTTATTGGCATCCATAGTTCCATGTAGACTCTTTAACATTCATGGAACATTTCCATTCCACAAAAGGTTCTTAGATTTTTAAAATGTTCTTCACACTAAGAACACAAAGAATTCTTTTCAAAACTGCGTACTCTTTGGAGAACTCACAATGGTTCTTATATGGCATCACTGTGAAAACCCCCATATGGAACCAAGAGTGTATGTTTGGTCCACAGTAAATCAACTAACTTTGAGGTGTTTTTGAATACAAACAAACCTCATGCAGATGTTTTTTTTCTTGCTGCCATGGTTATACTGATTGCAAGCAACATTTAATTCTATAAAATACTACAAATTTTAGGAATATATTTTTTCCAGACATAATTACTTTTATTACGTTTTGCATTTGGATATATATTTAGACATTATCAAAGACTACTTCAGTGTAAGACAATTTAGACTTTTCTAATCATCTGATTTGTGTACATATAGCAAGTGCCACAAAAGTCATACCAAAAGTTTCATACCATTGAGATGAAGTAAAAAATTGTACAAATTCAGAACATAAAATGTCACCAGATGGTTAAAAATGTTCTTTATTGGCATCCATAGTTCCATGTAGACTCTTTAACATTCATGGAACATTTCCATTCCACAAAAGGTTCTTAGATTTTTAAAATGTTCTTCACACTAAGAACACAAAGAATTCTTTTCAAAACTGCGTACTCTTTGGAGAACTCACAATGGTTCTTATATGGCATCACTGTGAAAACCCCCATATGGAACCAAGAGTGTATGTTTGGTCCACAGTAAATCAACTAACTTTGAGGTGTTTTTGAATACAAACAAACCTCATGCAGATGTTTTTTTTCTTGCTGCCATGGTTATACTGATTGCCAGAATCGTCACTCAGCACAAGTGATTACTGTCTTTGTAACATCTGAACCATCAACAACCGTCAGCTTAACACACCTAAAACCAATTGTGTGTTGAGTGGCATGTCCACTCTTTTCACAACTATAGCATGTTTTTCACTTATAGCATCTAGCATCCCTCTCTGTGTCTGTCCACAACATGTTTATTTCTTTTCATCCCCTCACACTGACTCATGAAATAATTGCTGCTCTTATGCATGTAACTATAACAATTGTGCTCTGAGTGTCATAGACTGTTACTTTACAACCAAAACATCTGGTTTGAGGGTTCTAATGCTGTTGTTTGTGCACAGATGGGTCGTTTAAGTCAAATAAAACAAAAACAATGCACAAAAAAACACAATATGAACCTCAAATCGTTTGTTTGGTTCAGTTTGATTATTCTTTGTTCAATCAGGTACCTCACAACACTAGTTCCTTACCTGTTTGCTTTCAGATTGTTTTAAAAATGGGCTATTTCATTGTCTCTGGTGTTTGATGTTAACTGTATGATGCCTATCTCTCAGTTCAGAGTCATGATTCAGTGCCAATGATGAATTCAACAGACAAAACACATCTAGACCCATGCCATGACTTGTGCCAAGAGTCGATCATAGATTAAGTTAAATAAATACTGCAGCCAAAATAAACCTTATCAATCATATTTATCAGTATTTAACTTACAAAACATTAGACATAAGCTAACAATTAGGGACACTTTTAAAAAGAACATGATTTCAGTTCATTTTGTATTTACATGAATCATTTGTTTAGTTTTTCTTTGAGAAGACTGAAAGTTTTAACATTATGATAGAAAAAGAGGAATTTCAGGTGTCATAACCAAACTAATCAGCATTTGTGATTTTTAATTGAGAAATCTAATACTTGTTTTTATAAGTTTTATAAGTTTTGTGTTAGTGAGTCCAGCTTGATGAAAATGTCATTATCATCACATGTCACTATCATCACATGGAATATTAAAAACCCACACTATCCCATATGCCGTATGTGTAGAAATATATTACCATATAAATCATATAGATTGAAAGATATTGATCTTCCAATATTTTAACTAAATATCCCTAATTAAAGATTTACCCAGTTTGTATATAGTCAGAGACACCGTGCGCTTATTTCGAGTTACTAAAAGAACAGCTTTCTACTAAATAGCCTAAGTTTTATTTTAAGGACTATTTTGTGTAAAACGGGAAAAAGTCTCACCATTGCTGAAACGATGTCTGTCATCTTGAATGGCAGCTCCAAAGACACTTATACTGAAGGTGCGTATAGCGCTCTTCCGCAAATATCCTGCGTGCTTCCAAACGACAGAAAGAAAAGAAGATCAAGCCTATTCAATATTTCCCTTTCGTTGTAAACTTCAAAAGCTCCGCCGAACGTTATTGATAAAACTGAAAACAAGGACTCTGTTACAAATAATTATTTTTCAAAGAAATTAAGCAAGTCCCGTGGCTCTTTGGTGACTTCAATGCGCTGTCCTGTCGCTCTTGGCCAGCGGCGACTCCGCTGTGCTGTGGAATGCGCAACAGCTGGAACTAGACCGTGCGCTGAAGTGCGCATGCGCACTGGAGCTAGCCGCGCGTGCAGTTCAGCCAGCATTGACAGCTCACTGGTTCTTGTGACATACATGGGTCAAAACATTCACCCGCCTTTAGTTTTTAAAAGCAACAGTTTGAAATTAACCAGAAATATTGATAGAATGTTACACAATATTTCATCTTCACTTTATTTGATCAAAATGTTGACATTAACATAGGTATAGCCTAGAAGTACATAAAACGTGTGTATATATATATATATATATATTTATTTAATTAATTAATTATATATTTCTAGGTTTATTTGTTATGTGTCATTTTTATGGCTTATGTCATATTTTCTGCTTTGCTGTGAGCAAAGCATGCATTAATTTATCACTTATTCCTTATTTATTTCTTTTAGTCTCTTGCAGTGTCGTTCCTCACCTTCATCTTTATTCTGCATCAAGGGAATTGTGAGTATATTATTGTTTAATAGTTTGTATAATATGAATGTATAATGCAATTCTTCCATCTTTATTTGACCCTCTATCTCTAGCACTCTCTATTCTAATTCTATTCTTTAAAAAAAACTTGCCCCTTTTAGACTTGCACTCTATTCATTTACTAACTGCTTGTTTTCTTTAAAAAAAACACTAACTTTTTTTGCAAGTTTACTTGGCCAATTCTTGAATTTTGATTTTTGAATATATCAAATACCAAAAAGAGAATTTCCTCCTCTCACTGATTAAGCTGTCAACTAAAAATATACACAGTGAAACATTTGTTTATTTAACATACACAGTCTACAACGTGTGTCATAAATTCACATCCACCGCCGTTCACACCCAACATCCAGTTTGTGATTTGAGGTCAAGTGTGGCTGAAATCTTTTGGTAAACAGGATGCCCCAGCGCACGCTCCTCCAGTTTTCTTTATCTCCGAAACAAGACGAATGCCATTTACCAAATAAATAATTCAATAGTGTAACTGATGCTGTTATTTCTAAAAAAAAAAAAAAAAGAGCTTGGGATCACCTGCGCTGTGCATGTATGTTTGCCTAAAATGCCATCAAAATGCGTCATTACTTTTTATAGTTCCTAAATGAGCTGGAAAAACAGAGGGAATGGAGAGCTGGATGAACTTTGGTCAGTTCACAGATGGCCTGTGTTCCCCATACAGCCTCCCTTCACCCTGGAGACCAGGGGAACCCAGCAGAACCCTCAAACAAAGAGACAGAAGCTACGAGCGTTAAGCCAGTTACAAAAAACACTGGAAGAAGTCCATGGAAGTCCACTGTACCCACAAGGCCACAGCGGCGTATAATTACACTGCAGTTAGTGTCCCTTTATATAAGTAGCATTGCTGCCGACATTAAAAAAAAACACAACCCCTGACATTCTTTCAGGACCTGGAATGAAATAAATAGTGGGAGTGAACAAAAGGAGAGGCGGGAGTGTGAAAGAAAGGATGGAGAGAAGGAATTTTGTTTGTTAAGGTCTTATAAAGACCACTGGTGCACACTTTCATGGAAAGAACAAAGAATGTGATAGTTTCAAAATGCAGCTGGCCAGGTCTCTATGTCTTGAGCTTCTCAAAAATTTGGCAAGATGTTTTTTAAGGCTTGGTGTTACATGTCAAATCACTGATATAAAGTCCAAACGTCTGACCACTAAAATTCCACTAATTTTTGGAACTGATTGATCATAGGCCTCATTGATCTGAACTGACGCACCTTCTGAGCCAAAATTATCCACAAATAATGCTTTTTTCACTCCTAAACTGAGGTGCATACGCTCAGATCAATGAGGCCTGTGATCAACCCATTCCAAAAAGAAATATAAATCCTGTACAATTTGAAAGAAAACAAGTTGACTAAAAGATTGAATCCAAGATTTGGTGATAATATAGCATAATGAGAGATTTACAAGCAATCGTTTTTGACCAGAACACCAAATAAAGCACTGCACAAGGGTTACACATGGGCAGGATTTTCAGGATTTTGGAACCTTTAAAACACAGTAACATGATTATGAAAAATTAATAAGAATGATTTAATATTTTGCATTATTTCTAGGTCACCAATCAAATTAGCAAATGTATGACATCATGCATGTGACTCCTTTGTACAGACAGTCAGATGTTCTTGCTTCTGTTGAAGCTCATTAGATTATCTCAAATCAAGCTGGAGAACATGATCATCAGATTTTTCAGAAATGTATGGGTTTCAGAGACTTTCAATGTAACTTTTCACTCACATTGCTATGCTTATAATTTATAATGAAATAAAAAAATAAATGAGAAAAATGCAGTGGAATGCGCAACAGCTGGAACTAGACCGTGCGCTGAAGTGCGCATGCGCACTGGAGCTAGCCGCGCGTGCAGTTCAGCCAGCATTGACAGCTCACTGGTTCTTGTGACATACATGGGTCAAAACATTCACCCGCCTTTAGTTTTTAAAAGCAACAGTTTGAAATTAACCAGAAATATTGATAGAATGTTACACAATATTTCATCTTCACTTTATTTGATCAAAATGTTGACATTAACATAGGTATAGCCTAGAAGTACATAAAACGTGTGTATATATATATATATATATATTTATTTAATTAATTAATTATATATTTCTAGGTTTATTTGTTATGTGTCATTTTTATGGCTTATGTCATATTTTCTGCTTTGCTGTGAGCAAAGCATGCATTAATTTATCACTTATTCCTTATTTATTTCTTTTAGTCTCTTGCAGTGTCGTTCCTCACCTTCATCTTTATTCTGCATCAAGGGAATTGTGAGTATATTATTGTTTAATAGTTTGTATAATATGAATGTATAATGCAATTCTTCCATCTTTATTTGACCCTCTATCTCTAGCACTCTCTATTCTAATTCTATTCTTTAAAAAAAACTTGCCCCTTTTAGACTTGCACTCTATTCATTTACTAACTGCTTGTTTTCTTTAAAAAAAACACTAACTTTTTTTGCAAGTTTACTTGGCCAATTCTTGAATTTTGATTTTTGAATATATCAAATACCAAAAAGAGAATTTCCTCCTCTCACTGATTAAGCTGTCAACTAAAAATATACACAGTGAAACATTTGTTTATTTAACATACACAGTCTACAACGTGTGTCATAAATTCACATCCACCGCCGTTCACACCCAACATCCAGTTTGTGATTTGAGGTCAAGTGTGGCTGAAATCTTTTGGTAAACAGGATGCCCCAGCGCACGCTCCTCCAGTTTTCTTTATCTCCGAAACAAGACGAATGCCATTTACCAAATAAATAATTCAATAGTGTAACTGATGCTGTTATTTCTAAAAAAAAAAAAAAAAGAGCTTGGGATCACCTGCGCTGTGCATGTATGTTTGCCTAAAATGCCATCAAAATGCGTCATTACTTTTTATAGTTCCTAAATGAGCTGGAAAAACAGAGGGAATGGAGAGCTGGATGAACTTTGGTCAGTTCACAGATGGCCTGTGTTCCCCATACAGCCTCCCTTCACCCTGGAGACCAGGGGAACCCAGCAGAACCCTCAAACAAAGAGACAGAAGCTACGAGCGTTAAGCCAGTTACAAAAAACACTGGAAGAAGTCCATGGAAGTCCACTGTACCCACAAGGCCACAGCGGCGTATAATTACACTGCAGTTAGTGTCCCTTTATATAAGTAGCATTGCTGCCGACATTAAAAAAAAACACAACCCCTGACATTCTTTCAGGACCTGGAATGAAATAAATAGTGGGAGTGAACAAAAGGAGAGGCGGGAGTGTGAAAGAAAGGATGGAGAGAAGGAATTTTGTTTGTTAAGGTCTTATAAAGACCACTGGTGCACACTTTCATGGAAAGAACAAAGAATGTGATAGTTTCAAAATGCAGCTGGCCAGGTCTCTATGTCTTGAGCTTCTCAAAAATTTGGCAAGATGTTTTTTAAGGCTTGGTGTTACATGTCAAATCACTGATATAAAGTCCAAACGTCTGACCACTAAAATTCCACTAATTTTTGGAACTGATTGATCATAGGCCTCATTGATCTGAACTGACGCACCTTCTGAGCCAAAATTATCCACAAATAATGCTTTTTTCACTCCTAAACTGAGGTGCATACGCTCAGATCAATGAGGCCTGTGATCAACCCATTCCAAAAAGAAATATAAATCCTGTACAATTTGAAAGAAAACAAGTTGACTAAAAGATTGAATCCAAGATTTGGTGATAATATAGCATAATGAGAGATTTACAAGCAATCGTTTTTGACCAGAACACCAAATAAAGCACTGCACAAGGGTTACACATGGGCAGGATTTTCAGGATTTTGGAACCTTTAAAACACAGTAACATGATTATGAAAAATTAATAAGAATGATTTAATATTTTGCATTATTTCTAGGTCACCAATCAAATTAGCAAATGTATGACATCATGCATGTGACTCCTTTGTACAGACAGTCAGATGTTCTTGCTTCTGTTGAAGCTCATTAGATTATCTCAAATCAAGCTGGAGAACATGATCATCAGATTTTTCAGAAATGTATGGGTTTCAGAGACTTTCAATGTAACTTTTCACTCACATTGCTATGCTTATAATTTATAATGAAATAAAAAAATAAATGAGAAAAATGCAAATGCATAGAGCGTTTGCAGTATACTTTTGGACCCTACGATGTCTTCTGATTCAAAATTTGGCTGCATTTTTCATTTGAAATTCACGATCAATATCCAAACTGAAAAACTGAAGGGGAAACATTCCCTTTACGATAACGGCGGTGAACAAAAACTGTGATTTTAAAGCCAAAGAGAAAGAGAGCAGCTGTGCTGATTAGATCTGTCTCTATTTTCTTTCTCTCTTCCTAAATACCTTCATGCTTTGAGCACGTAATTGTTTCTTTATTGGATTCAAATGCTCTGTGTGGACTCGTTCACATGCTCCTGATCATTATCTGATGGCTTTCCCATCCCAGAGACCACAGAAAACACTCACTGGAATGTGGACATGGTCACAGGGAATTGCAGGTGTGGAAGATCTTGCGCTCTGAAGGGCCCTTGATGTTCAGACACTCGCATTGTTTCTGTGAATACTGGTAAGAACATTTTTTTTTTAAATACTGAAGAGCAATAAAGTAAGCTGAGATTTAGAGAAAAAAAATATTTGATTACACTTGATTCTGTTTTTTTTTTAAGAAATTTAAGTACTTCATTTAAAGGGAGGTAAATCTCTCAAAGCCTTTCATGTTTGTGTCATGCAGTGTTGTTACTGTTAACTAAAACTATTAAAATAGTTTTCTGTAATATAAATAAAACTGAAATAAAAAAAAAAAATATTACATTAAAAAATAAAACAAATATAAATATTAGACAAAATTAGAAATGTTCTAAGGCTAAAACTAAAACCAAAATAAATATATAAATATTAAACTATAAATAAATAATAAATATAAATAAATATAAAAAACAAAAACTAATTAATAAATAATATTAAAGTACCACTGAAAAATCAAAAATAAATTTAAAAGGCCACAATGTATAATTTAATTTTTAAATTTAATTTTTGTATGAATACAAATTGAAAGAATGTATTTACTTGTCAAAAAACACCCCAGAGACATTTTTTTTAATTAAATTATAAAATAGTATCCACCATGGTAGAATTTATTATTTTGACAAATTCTAAGAAAATCGAGGCGATGGAAAATAGAAAAACTGTTTAGTGTTGTATTGCACCAGCTGTCAAAATAAGGTTCCTGCCATGACCGAGACCCACATCTTCCAAACACAAATAAAGACCAGAAACAGTTGATCACATCAGGTATACATATGAGCCATTGCTAAACATTTTTAATGTGCTGAGATATTATATAAAATATGGGAAACTTTCTTTTTCATGATGCAACGAAAAACTCAATGAACTTTATTTTTCAAGACGTAAGAAAAAAATCAATGACCCTGTTTGTTCTTGCTCTGATATTGTGATAAAGAATAAACATTTAACAATTCTTAAAATATGTTCTAAAATATTATAATTAATCATGAATAATTACAATAGTTTGCTTCAATACATGAAGTGTAGGTGAACAACTGTTGTTGAAAAGAATAAAAACAACATTTGAGTTTCAGTGAACATGGGTATCAGATTGATGGCACCTAAAGTTCTGTTGAATTAAATATAAAAAAATGGTCATAGGTATCCGTCACCTGCTGTGACCCCCATGTGATTCCAGGTCCTTATGGTCAGCACACTTTCAGTCTTCATGGTGGTCACTGAAAAGGTCATGTGCCTGGCCGATCCTGAATGAGGAGGTTATTTAATTTAATGACAGTGTTTGCGAAGTCCACAAGTTCTACAAAGTCTGAAGTGATGATATTGACCCCATCTACTCCTGGCTTTTGTGCCTCCACCCACGTCATTATGGTTGGAAGGTTCCTGTGAGAGAAACAACAGAAGCACATGTAAGAATAGACATGTAGGATGCAAAATTCAAATAAATTATGTTCTTTTTCTTTCTATTCATCATAATTCTATTTCAGGTCAGCCGAGTCAGCTCTGACTAGAAATAAACTTCCCAAGCCCCACAGTGATCTACAACAGCAGCCCGGACAAAACCAGGAAATGGGAAGCTCAGACTGTGTTTATCCCAGAATAATAAACAATCCAACTTCCACACTCAGGCAGAATTAAACAGCTTCCTCCGAGACGGCTGTCTCACTAGGATGTCCGCTAAGACACAGCACAAGGCTCCATACTTCTGTGTCGGTCAGTATGTGCCACTATGTCTTATTAAATTCAGACAGTCTTAACTTCAAAGGCTATACTCAAAAGAGCATACAATATATAGTTAGGAGACTATATGTACTGTACACAATATGCAAATGTTCTGTATGCATAGATCAAAAGCCAGTAGTGTATTTCAATAGGCCTGGGAATTTTTAAGAGGGGCCCCTTCAACCGGGCCCAATGAGTAGGCTGGGATCTTAGTGGACCCCTGCATTTGTCCTCAAGAAAAGTTTCCTCAGACCCCACTTACCAAATTTGCTATGTTGTTGGGCCTGCCACCTAGTGGATGATTTTAAAATTATTCCAACACAAGCTCTGTAAGGGATATATACAGTGTATATATACAGGACAGGTTCATCTCAAAAAATTTGAATATCGTGAAAAAGTACATTTTTTGTAACTTATTTCAAAAAGTGAAACTTTCATATATTCAAGATTCATTGCATGTAAAGTAAAACATTTCAAAGTTTTTTTTGTTTAATTTTGATAATTAGAGCTTACAGCTCATGAAAGTCAAAAATGTTCAAAATATTAGAATATTTACATTTGAGTTTCATTAAATGACCATCCCTACAGTATAAATTCCGGGTATCTCTTGTCCTTTGAAACCACAATAATGGGGAAGACTGCTGACTTGGCAATGGTCCAGAAGACAATCATTGACACCCTCCACAAAGAGGGTAAGTCACAGAAGGTCGTTACTGAAAGGGGTGGCTGTTCACAGAGTGCTGTATCAAAGCATATTAAATGCAAAGTTGACTGAAAGGAAGAAATTAGGTTTTCTGCTTTAATTTTATTGAAAGTTTTTTTTTGTTGTAATTTTGGGTTCGTGTCATTTTTATTAGTTTTTTAAATATTGTTTTACATTTTAATTTATTTGAGGTATCAAAATGTTTTATGGTTTTAGTTTTTAGTTAATTATAATAACTGATCAGTGTTGTTTTAATCACCAATATGCTGTTATGGTTTTTGTTAATATTTTGAATTAGATTTTATTTTAATATTTTATTTATTTAGTTATAGTTATTTTAGTACTTCAGCTTAAACTAAAAAAAATGATAAGCTAAAATAAGTTTTATAGGCTACATTTTATAGTAATTCATTTATAGGAGTTTATAATATATATAGATAGAGAGAGAGAGACAGAGAGAGGACAGCAGCCAAACAAAACAAAACAAACAAAAACAGCTTCCTTTACTTAAATACTCAGTTCTCCACCAGGTAGTTTCTTAGCCCCTGTACCAGGCCCCTGGCGATGGTCTTGACACGTGGAGTTAAAATGGCTTGAGAGACATGAAAGCTGCCGTATTGGGCTCGAAGAAAAGAAAGTCATACAAATTTACAACTAAATTGTGAATGAGTTTTCATTTTACGATAAACTGTTGCTTTAAGGAGAGGTGTGCTATTGCTCGACAATAAAAATGGACCAAAAAAATTACTCCTAGATAAGCACGTGAGACTTGTTTAGGAACAAGAATTAGACTTGGTTGGTAGATGTTGGGTTCTAGAAAGTAAGCATACAGTATAGTAACCATTCAAAATAATCTAGAAACCACTTTACAATGTGGTAAAACCATTCAACTTAGCAACCACATAGTAACCACCCACAACAGCCAAAAAAGCATTTCTCAACAGTTTTGACTAACAATATTCAAAGGCCCCATGACTTTTCCATTTTTTGTGATTTACTAATAACCATTTATATTTTCTTATATTTTCAAAATTAAAAAATCTATTTGAACCTCAAAATACTCTGAAAAATGACTGGATAAAGTGACACATAAATGACACATTTATGGACTTGGTTCACCACCTTTTCAGTTATTAATCTGAACACCATGTTGATTTGCATGTCATCTTAATCAGTTATGTCCACAAAGACTAACATGAGAATCTGTTAAACGGAAGGTGTTCACAAATAGAGTGCTCAAATGGGATGTTGGTGTCCAGTTTTTGCCATTTGTACACTTGTCTGTCTCTATCGGAGTGGAGGCGAGACATTAATCCTATGGTGATTAGGGTCAGTACACAGCAGGAATAGCTGAACTCTGGTGCAACACACCACAGACACACAAAGAGTCGTCAGCACTAATTCAGCCAGGGTTATTATAGTTAACAAACTAAAAGTGAAACTAAAACTAAAACCAAAAAAGAATTTCCATTACTTGAAATAAAAGTTAACTGAAATAAAATATAAAAGCACATCTATTTCAGCTAGTTGCCAGTGTGACATTTCTCATTTTAATTTAGTTTGACTTGATGTACTAAAATAACTAAAACTATAACTGAATACTGTAAAATTAATAAAACTATATAAACAAACAAAAAAGATTATAAAAACAGAACAAAATTACTAAAACTGTAACAATAATGTGAAGTGTAAAATGAAACAAAAAATATTTTATGATAAAAACTTATTTAAAATATTAACAAAAGCAATAATAGTATCTCAATGATACTAAAATAACACTGGTGTCACAATTGCTACTGTGTAGGAGCGCGGAGCGCGGAACGAGGAGACAAGGAGTAAACTTTCAACGAACAGACTTTAATTGACATCAAGGGAACCAGGAACACACACGTAGCGGGGAAAGACGACATTCAATACCGCACACTAGACTCAGAACAGGAAACACTTTAAATACACATGACACGACGAGGGGATGACGAAAAACACCTGGGAGCAATAACATAATTGCACATGAGGGAAAACTGGGTCATGGAAAGCATGTGGGGGAGGAAAACACAAGACACGGAACACAGGACTGACAACTGGACACAATAAATTGGTAACAAAACAATCATAACTTCAAGTTTGGTATTACAGTAAAAAGTAAACACACACAAAAAAATCAAATTATTTCCATATCTCATTTATAGTGCTAATGCAGATACAGATCAGATACAGACATTTCTTTGACAACAAACTATTAATAAAAATATATATTTTTTAATTGATATCAAAGGAATCTAGCCAGAAACAGCTTTGCATGTGCAGTATGAGTTTGTGTATTGATGCTGTGAGACAGAACTAGCATTTGTATTGGTAACGGGAAGAACGTTATGTTTTCCAGTTTTTGACAGCTGTTTTTAAATTAGTTTCAGTATGACTGATCACCTAATCGCTATGACGAAGGCTTGGATCTGTTTTAAAGTGTTAAAAAGTCAACCTCTCATAATGAGTGTCTTTTTTCCTCCATCTAAAGGGCACTAACTGTTATCTCAAGTGCTCACAGAGGTACTTTAGTTGTTTATTTAGATATTATGCAGATTAACCACTGACCTAAAACCATCTGTCCACCAACACTTTCCATTGATATTTGCGGCTTTTTCTTCTCGTCAAAAAACATTTCAGATTTTCTTCTTTACGTAAAGCCATTATTACTATCATCAGATTGTGTGGTGACATCCAGAGCTCACCTGGTACCTGTTCTCCCACAGATAATTCAGAGTGATGTCCTCCACCACGTCAATCTTGCAGAGCTTGTGACCAAACACGTCCTTCAGCATCTTGATTAGGTAATGATGATGCTCCTCGCTCATTGCGTAATGATGGTTAAAGTCTAAAAAAACAACCTCTTTCTTGTGTAGGTTCAAAAAATTGTTAATGTCATTAAGGCCATCACGTACTTTGTGTCCAAACAGCCCGTGTATAAAGTATATCTCGTGGCCTGGTTCTCCTGGTTTGGAGGAAACACACAGGTCAAAATAGCGTATTCCTCCCTTGAGCTGTTCCCTGAAGGTGAGGTTCTGGGTCATGGACCACTTCTTCATCACCTTCTTGGCCAGGAAGCGGAATATCGCAGCCAGGTGCTTCACATACGTTTTCTGGTCTGGACCGACTGGAGCTTGCTCATCCACCCAGAAGCTGAAGGAATCATGAGAACCTAGCACAAGCATAAAGGCAGCTTCAAGACAAAGAACTCAGGACAGTTCTATAGTTCTAGCCATTATGTCATGACTCTACAAGTTGTTTATTAGATTATTAACAATATTAAAGATTTATTAGAAATATCCAGCTTTCAATAATTAATTGGTTTCTATACAAAATCATAGGAACAGGTTTGATAATTTAAGACTGTCCTCTAATGAAAGCCTAAAAAAAAACAAGACAAATTGTCAAAAAGGATATAGAATTATCATCCTGAAAGGATTATGATGTCATCATTGTCGTATTTTTTTTAACATTTTTTTTAATAATAGTTGGATTTTAAGTCTAAAAATTAAGATGTATATATTAATATTAATAAAATATGTATGATATATTTAGTGCTATATAATATTTATAAATATATAAAAAAGTATAGAAATAATATAACATCTAGAAATATATAATCTGTAATATAAATGAAATAAGTATAAATTAATATTTATATATAAATTTCACATTTGCATATTTGTATATATATATATATAGTATTTATATAGCTATATATTTAATTTAAATGAACAATTTATTAATTAATATTAAATAGATACTACTACTACTACTAACAACAACAATTAATAATGAATAATCAAAATATGAATATATTGTTAATACAGCAAGAAAATGGAAACAGGGCTAGTGACAGGCCACCCCCAAAAAAAGAAAACAATGAGAAATAAACTCTGTGCTGTCTTTGCAGTGTAACAAATAATTGCATTATAATTAAATAGCTATAAATGGAAAATAATACCTTGTTTTACTTTTACCCACACTTCAATATTTAATTTAATTTCAGTTAAATGTCAAAAAGGAAAAGACGTTCTCTCACCAGGAACCGCCAGGTGCTTGAGGGGCATGGATGTGAGGGCAGGGCACAGGGAGCCCATCCAGTCGGCGTTGGAAGTGTTTCCTGTGGGTCGCGTCTTCATTTCCTCTAAGCTTTTCAGCTCTAAAATTCACAATGCCAATTCAACACAGATCCAGGCCAAGGCAATCCAGCAATGCTCGTTATCCCCTGCGAAATCATTACGGTCAATCAGGTCATCAACTCGCGATTTGAATCAAGATAACAAAGATTTAGTCATTATAACGTCACTGGATGTGTAAGGCTGACTGCAGATGGAGAGCGAGCTCTTCTACAAAGTAATCTTCTTAAATCCAAATTACAATCCTTATCCTCCTCCCCGCTTCCCTGCTGGAGTTTAAACGTCTTGGTCAGGGCTGATTATCCCCGCCCTCTCCTCCATTAGACAGGTAACAGATGGGACACTTCACCTTCAGTACTGCAAGTGGATATTATCATGTTTGAAGAGCATGGCGGTCTAGACATTCACTTTTGACTTATTGACCACACCAATGAGTGTGATCAGTGGATAAATTTCAGCAGTTGCAGCAGTGAATAGGCTAATTAAAATAGTTGAACATTAATGTGCTATAAAGAAAAGCTTTAATTAAATCCTGTCTTCAGCATATTTTGGTTTTTGGCACTGCAGAGTGCACCCAACATAATGGTTTTGATTCTCAATGACTCAAATCTTTTGAATAATTGAAATCACTAAAAAGATTCATTATGTCGGAAGGAGGCAACAAGTGATTGCGTCATTGAATCATTCACTTAACTGATTCATCTCTGAGTTGACTGAAACAATGCAAGAATTTGATAATGGCCATGACACAAATCGTACCCTAAATCCTCGCGGTTTTCCTCTGAGTCTGCACTTTCGTGACGTAATGCCACTTTGACTGTCGGGTAGAAGTCTGCTGCTTGGCAGAAGTCGTATCGAGTGCCCATAGTGGCCGCAAAGGGGACACTCACGAGCTCCCTTCTGAACGCTAAAATGACGAATGGGACACCCTACGGCAGGGCTGGGCAACTTCGGTCCTGGGGGGCCACTGTCCTGCAGAGTTTAGCTCCAACCCTAATCAAACACACCTGCCCTCCGAAGTTGGCCAGCCCTGCCCTACGATCTCGTGGACTTAACGGACACGTGCACACAGCGGCCATCCCTTACGAAAATTATTTTTATTGTAGTAAAAATGTAGTAACCATGTTTTTTTTTTGGCATATTGATTACCATTTGTATAACTACAGTTTTACTACAAATGGTTAATGGTTAGTGTAGCAAAACCATGGTTAATTTTCGTAAGGGACTGTAAGTCTGTAAGACCGCAAGTGCACATTAAATTCCATTTAGGACAGGGCCATAGGCCTACGACTGAGAGACTCCAAAGTGTGCATCATAAACGTTTTCATCATTTTTCAGCAAATTTATCTTTTTCCCTTCAATTTTCACTCATCCTTCAACTTGAACTGGAATTCATTAAGGTAGGCTACAGTAAAAAAGATTAAGAGAAAAACATTTATAACCAAAGCGGTCACAAGAACGGTTCGTTCACTTAAAGGGGTCATATGATGCGATTTAAATTTTTCCTTTCTCTTTGGAGTGTTACAAGCTCTTGGTGCATAAAGGAGATCTGTAAAGTTGCAAAGACTAAAGTCTCAAATCCAAAGAGAAAAAATTTAGTTGACACAAAAAAGTATATATTGCACAGAATAAGCATATACTCGTAAAATCCTTTAGGAGATCTCAATTGCAGTCAGTTTCGTTCCTTTGCCAGATCTCAATGAGCATATTTACATGCACGTTCTTAAGCAGATTATGCTTAATAAACCGAAAACGCACTCGGTCATGTAGACGCGGTAACCCGTTTTCTTTTATCGGAGTAAGGTCATAAACGGCGTAAGCATAAACCGAATTGATGGAAGGTTTGCGAAGAAATTTCATGCTCCCTTGTAAAAGTATTTTTTAGTATTTTTAAAATACAAAAATACAGTAGTTTATTTTATGTGGCTGCTGTATTTTGTAGTTTATTTTTATACACTTAAAATGAAGGTATTTGGTATTTTATTTTAAAATACATTTTGATGTATCTTTGCCCAACCCTGGGCGTAACATTTCCGTCACACGCTTGAGGTATACGGGACTGAAACTTGATTTGAATGTTAGTAAATGTCTGAAAGCTCATTAGGAGAATGTTTCAAGTGAACATTTTAAATAGGCACCCGACTATTTTTTAAGCAAAGATAAAATAGAAAATAGATTTAATTTAAGATAAAATAGATTTCATTTTAGTTGAATTAAAAGAGTAGTACGCAGAGCTTCAGTCGAGATCTTATGGTTAGGCTACTTGTTGATTTTGACATGTTTACACTTCCTTGACCACTAGCCTACTAGCAAGCAAACGCACACATGCAAACCGACTTCCTGTGTGACATTAGAAGGTTTGCGTGTGCAGTATTTTTATAGCCTCACATGGAAATATGCTCAGACTTCTCAGACTATCTCGCTGTGTATCATAATTTCTGAGCGTGGGCATGAAGGAAGATTCCCTCCACTAAGTTAATTGTGGACTTGAGACGTGACATTTTAGTATCCTTTGAGCAAACAGCAGTGACTTGCGCTGATTATTACAAGTGTCTCCGTGGAAGCAACAGCCTGGAAGGTTTCCACAAAGTTCTGCCTCACATGATACCAGGTACAAGTTAAACAAATGCGCAACATGTTTTCAGACATTCAGTCCTTACCTTTATACAATGCACACCAATTGTATCTTTGAAGACCACACTGTAGCAGCCATCCACCTTACCATACCCTGCTTACGGTCAGATTATCTGCTCTGTCTTTCGTATATACCTGGTGTACTTACCTGCTCACTAGTTCTCCATCGTGCTTTTTGTGGTGTAGTTCCTTTATATCCTGCTGCAAATAAACACTGCTTTGGGTCATGTCATGATTTTAATGCCCTTTTCTGTCATTTCAAGGTCCCCACTGTGCTGCACGTCCCTATCAGGTTTACCTGATTAGTGGAATCGCTCGTTGGAACTCGGACCGCAGTTCTGAAGCTGTGTTTGGTGGCAAAGGGAGAAATCTCAGATCCTACTCTGCGCCTCTGATTGAGCGCCTCAACACCCGCTGCCAGCAGCTGTTTGGAGAAACTGTGGAGGAGAATTTCCGCGCCCCTGCTGCTGTGACATCAAATGAGCTGCTTGGTTTGGAGTACCTCTTCAGCCAAAGCACAGGTGAATCTGGTGCCTTCTCCCTCAGTGACCTCTCAAAGGACGGACCCAGTCCAGAGGAGGAGTAACATTTCCGTCACACGCTTGAGGTATACGGGACTGAAACTTGATTTGAATGTTAGTAAATGTCTGAAAGCTCATTAGGAGAATGTTTCAAGTGAACATTTTAAATAGGCACCCGACTATTTTTTAAGCAAAGATAAAATAGAAAATAGATTTAATTTAAGATAAAATAGATTTCATTTTAGTTGAATTAAAAGAGTAGTACGCAGAGCTTCAGTCGAGATCTTATGGTTAGGCTACTTGTTGATTTTGACATGTTTACACTTCCTTGACCACTAGCCTACTAGCAAGCAAACGCACACATGCAAACCGACTTCCTGTGTGACATTAGAAGGTTTGCGTGTGCAGTATTTTTATAGCCTCACATGGAAATATGCTCAGACTTCTCAGACTATCTCGCTGTGTATCATAATTTCTGAGCGTGGGCATGAAGGAAGATTCCCTCCACTAAGTTAATTGTGGACTTGAGACGTGACATTTTAGTATCCTTTGAGCAAACAGCAGTGACTTGCGCTGACACATCTCTCCTCACACGTGCGATGTGAAACATGGATCATCCTGCATATCATGGGCCGATAAGCAAACAGAGATGTGAGGAGCTGCTCGGCAACAAAGGACGGGATGGAACATACCTCATTCGGGACAGTGAGACCATTCAGGGAGCTCTCTGCCTCTGTGTGTAGTGAGTATTGTTTTCCTATTCACATTGGTAGTATATATATATTTTAAGAAACTGATGACTTTATCAAGGAATCATTTTGGAATAATGCGTTCTTTATGGTGTAATCTCCCACTTCATCTAATTTCCTTGCCACCAACCGATACAAGATAGATAGGTCGTTAGTATTCACTTAAATGAATGAATGAATTAAGACTAAAGGATGGATCAAACTGATTTTCTGCTTTATTAGTTTAGTAGCTACTACCATAAGAAAAAAGTATTGACAGCTGATAGTGTTGAGAAAAAGAACTATATTTTGCATATCACACGTATTAAATGCAATAGCTAGCCTATTTGTCTTGCTGGCTATTAGGAACTACGTAAATAAATATAAACTCAGTTCACAGCAGGTCAGACATGGAAAGCAGCTCTTTAGAATGAAGGCTGACATTGATATTGATTAGTATTTAAATGTTTTAATATCTGACAGTGTTGAAAACAGCCAGGACTCTTATAAAACCTTATAAACTGACGTAGTTTTAGCAGTAGTGAGTGATAATAAAATGTAAATATTGTTTATGTATAAAATAAGAATAAAATCAAATGGTTCAGTTTAGGGATGCACCGAAATGAAAATTCTTGGCCGAAGCCGAACAAAATGAAACACTGGGCCGAATACCGAACTAGCAGACATACCGATTCTAGCAGATATACCAATAAAACACAACTTAACTTAAAATTAATATGTTAGTAAAATTATATTTTTTTGGCCATTTTTTTAGACCCCCTTCTTGAATCAGGCATGTATTTTTGCCTTACAAATAAATGTAGCCTTGCTGAGCAGAAGAGACTTTTTTTAAAACATTAGAAAATATTATAAGCGCAGATTTCCCTCGCGCTTTGGACTTTGAACCCTTCCGCCCGCGAGTTCGTGCACCGCTGTTTGAACACATGCAATTCCTGCGTGTAGTAGAAAACATAACATTCTGCAGTTTATTGAATTGTTTAAGGGCATTTCGCGATTTTAATCATCATACAGTAACCAGCAACTTCCTCTTCTCATCGAAGACATGCGATGCAGTACTAAACAGTCTCTCGCTGTCGGTGCTTGTAATGTTTTTTACGTCTTTCTCGGACAGCCGTTTCCACACTGCCGTCATGTTTGCTGCATGCATTAGCGCGCACCTCTATTTGATCGCGTCACGTCATTGTTAGGTACAATTTATTCGGTCTTTTCGCTTATTCGAAAAGATTAATAATTTCGGTTGCCGAACATTCGGTGCATCCCTAGTTCAGTTATATTAAGAACATTATACTAATCACCCTTAATTACACTCAAAGTGGCATGTTACTTTAAAAACCAAAGGCAGGTTAATTATTGGAATATATTTTGTTTCTATATCTTAAAAAAACAGTGAATTGTACATATTTGAATATTTGTTTTAGAATATTTTATAATGAGAATATTTATGGAAAATTAAGCAGTGAATGTGTAATTTGTAATTCTTACCTTAAAGTGAATTTTTCATGCCAGTAGTTTTTCTAAATTGGTCCTGTTTTTAGCCCTGATGTTATGTTGCGGTTCAATTTTACCCATTTAAATTTTTTTAGTTGTTGGTAATGCTTTGAAACCAGTGATGTTTTCCTTGAAATTTTTGGATTTTTTTTGTCATTTAGGTTCATGAAAATGTCTGCACTCAGACATGTTTTAGAATGTGCATGTATTTAAAAAGTATAAAGAATTTTGTTATGTCAGTTTCTCAACTACCCTCTTAAGGGTATTTACATTTGGCAGACACTTTTATCCAAGGAAATTGACACGGCATTGAAGTCATATATTTTATCTGTTCATGTACAGTATGTTGTGTATGCCATGCTCTACCGTTTGATCTTCAGGACAACATACGGAAGTGCTTTTCCACACCACTTCTGTTTAAAATCACTTTTTTTTTTTTTGTGAAATTTGATAAGAGTTAATATTTAAGATTGCTGTTTTTACAAGATATTTTGTTTGTGTTTCATTATGGTGAAGCCATTTAGGATCAGAAACACAATAGATATAACTGCAGTACAAGATTATGAGATGCATTATTTGAATGCTTGGCCAAAGAGATGTGTCTTTAATCTAGATTTAAACAGAGAGAGTGTGTCTGAACCCCGAAAGTTATCAGGAAGGCTATTCCAGAGTTTGGGAGGCAAATGCGAAAAAGCTCTACCTCCTTTAGTGGACTTTGCTATACTAGGTACTACCAAAAGTCCAGAGTTTTGAGACCTTAGGGAGCGTGATGGATTGTAGCATGGTAGAAGACTAATTAGGTACGCCTCTAACCTTTTTCAATTTGATGGGGGCAACAGCTTCTAATGTATTAGAGAAGATAGTGCCCATGTTGCTAGTCATTTCGTCTAGTAATCTAGTTCTGGTACATAAGTGCACACAGTAGGGACAAAATGTGAAAATATTATTGACTATGCAGTGAAACATATACTGCTCAAATTTAGACTATAAATTGGAAACTACAGTGGCTACTGCACATTTAGGGGCCATTCTAGTAATGTTAAAATTAGAAGCAATTCAAGGGGCTGGCATGTGTTTGTTTCTGTTTAGTTCCTGTCTGCCCTTATTTGGTTCAGTTCCTGTTCTCATTTAGTTAATCATCGTTTATTCAGATCACCTGTGTTGTATTATTCATCTAGTTTGCTCCTTAGTTTGCCTGTCCTTATAAGCCCTCAGTTTCTGTCTATTCTTTGTGCTGGATTAATGTTATTTTCAACGGTCCGGTTTATTTTCAATAAACATCAAAGTGTGTTGATGTTTATTAAAGACTCCTCTACTTCTGCTCCTTCGTGCGCCTTTTCTACAACCACGACCGTGTGACAGGGGCCCACAACAATTTCTATATTTTCTGTATAAAAAAAAGTAAAGTGCCCAGAGCAGTATACTGTATAGTCAGGAGATACAGAATAACTAAATTCGTCCCTGGCCATTCGCAAAGAATGTGTACTGTTCTTGCATTTTACTTGCATCTTTTAATTGCTTAGGTAGGCTACATTGAGTCATATAGACATTTTTGGCCATTGCATTTTGTTCATTGCCTCATGTTCTGAATTGCACATGTTCAGTGAAGCACTTCAAATGTCTCTTATGAAGACCCCTGCGTTACATTCTAAGGAACGAATCCTGTGCGATTGTATATCAGTTGCACATCAGGGATCCAAGTGTTACAGTTTCTAATTTCAGTGTGTTCTGAATGTTTTTAGACAATATATGCTAAGACTGAAATATAATTTCTCTAGAAGTCTTTGAATGGTAAATAAATGTTGCAGTAATTAATGAAGCTCGGATATCATTTATAAGTATTACTGTTATTATAAATGATGGTAAAGTAGCTTTACTTGTTGATATTTCTTGTTGGCAGCATCTTAACAGTCTGTGTGCAGAATGCACTGTAGATAGACGAAAACAAACAATACATACTAAAAGGCTAAACTCTGAAAATCTCCAAAAATCAATACTAAAACAAGCGAGTCTCATTTGGCCTTGCATAGCACCTAATTAAAAAAACACCTTAATGAAGAGAGAACTGAAAGTCCAAACATAGCACAACATTTCCTGAAGGCCACAGAAACCCTGACTATCAAAGTTTTTAAGTTTATGATTTAATGTAAATGAACTATGTTCAGTTAATTAATTATTTACTTATTTATGCATTTTTACAGCAAACAAAAAGTGGTCTATACTTACAGGATCCTCCAAACCCACACTGGATACTTCACTCTACAGGTAGGATAATCTAATTGATTTGCACTGGTTTGCCAACAAATAAGAGTATGAATAAATATATAAATATAAATGAATCAAAAATTCATTCTAATATCACAACACAATTTGTTTCAGGCTAGCTCAGGTGTAGAGGAGAAGTTTTTCAAGACGTTGAAGGATCTTATTCGTAATTACAAGCAAAAGAATCAAGGACTTGCAACACGCTTACGCCGTTCGCTGAAAAGAAAAACGCTGCAAGATCAGCCATTGCAATGTGCAGAACCACTAGTGCCTAACGAGGAAAATGACTATGAAAGTGAGTGTCGACTGTTACAATATTAGACATTAGCAATTATGAGACATTACCAATGTCATTACAATGAAACATTATTAGACAATTACAATTAGCAGGAATCAGCCTTGCTGATTTTTTTCTCTTTGACAGAGAATCGAAATATTTCATTTACCCAAATTAATTGTGAACACTTGTTTTTGTCTCTCTCAGATGTTGACTGCTCAGGGGACTATGTTGTTGTTCTGCCGGACTGATTTAGTCACAATGTGACGTTCTGACTGGATAACTGGATCAGCTAATATGAACGATATAGATGTGCTATTACAGTTTCCTAAAACTTTGTAGCCATTTTCACCTCAAATATGGGAAATGCATGTGGAATCTTATTACTTGAATCACATTTTAGCATGGGTATGTTTTTGTGCATGGAAAATGCATAAATTGGGGATGTACCTTTTAATGCTGGAATGGTGTGAATTTTATGAAAGCCTGTTTCTGCTTTGGAATAAAGAGGTCATTACAACTTTTCATCTCACAATTCGGATGTTGTTTATCACAATTCTGAGGAAAAAAAGTCAGAATTGCAAGATATAAACTCAGAATTCCGGGTTTATATCTCATAGTTCTCAGAGTCTATACCTCACAATTCTGAGTTTATATCATGCAGTTCTGAAGAAATGAGAATTGTGACAAAAAGGTCAGAATTGTGAGATAAGAAATGCAAGGAAAAATGTCAAAAATGTCAAAACTGTGACATAAAGTCGCAATTACCTTTTTTATTTTTTTATTCTGTGGCAGAAATAGGCTTTCATAGGATTTTGGTGTCATTTGTTACAAATTATAGTATCCTCATAATCATTTGAGTGAAAAGTTAATTTGAAAAATTGACATGGTTTTCAGAATGTCTTGGTATTTGGGATTGCTTTAATGACAAATGATTTAATGTACAGAGGAGTTCACATGGTCAATGTCACATGTTTGATTTAGTGTCCTAAAAATAGTGCAAAATATTAAATATTGTTTATTTATTTTACAACATTCTAGAAATTCTAAAACTTGGTTTTAGATTTTTAATGTGGCCTCAAACTTTTAAAGTCATTGGCCAATAAAGTGTTGGTTGGAATTGTAATACTAATCTGGATGGGAGAGAAATATTAGGTTTGTATTTTGTGCTTGATGACCTGCTCATAACTCAAGGACAAGAAGAGATTTTTTATTGTATATGTTTTTTTGTTTTGTTTTTTGTTAGAGAATGTGTAGGCCTATCTGTATATTGTATGTACAGTTTATAAATATAATCTAATTTTGTCTCGAACAGAGTCTATAATAATGTATGCCATATGAATGGGCTGTCTTTAGGTTTTAACATGTACATATATATATATATATATAATACATGTATGTACCATTTTCTTTACCACAACTTAAAATAGATTGACCCACATTGGACAGTCAAACAGTTTCCGTTACACTGTTCTATGTGGTCAAAGACAGCAAGTGATGTAGCTTGATGTTACTATCTGATTTTAAGTTTGGTTGGCATCTTTAATAAATCAATTACATTTAAAAAAAATCAGTCATTGTGTATGAAGTTTACAATGAACTGGCAAATGTCTTGCCAGTTTTCTTGAATGAACACAACGCCAAAAATGCAAGACAGTTTCTGGTTGTGAATCACAGAAAGTACAGTTCACATTTATGCTTAATTTAAATTTTGACACAATAAAGGTTTTAACTGGATAGTATTGGTGAACAAGATTAAAAGAAATCTCTTTAATTGAAAAGAGTACACATACCCCAACTACACGTACTTACGTCAGGGCGTCGTCGAATTCTGGCTCTCAACCATTCTTCACAGAAAGGGGGTTAAAGCTTTTCTTAAGAACATTAAAAGAAGAGAGATTAACATAAAACAAACAAAAAAATCCACTGATTCAATATTTAAGAGTTGTGGTGAATCGTAAAAAGGTTTTGCCCTATATTTTAAACTTAAATATTTAGATATATTCCTAAATGTTTCCATTATCTCCCTCCCCTTTTGGATAATGAACTCTTCCGGCGATTCGAAGTGTTAGCGGGAGGAAGTTGCTGTTGTAGCGGACAGTGGAGAATTTAATATAAGCTTTTGAGTAAATACTACGTAAAATAACATACTAGTAAATATCATTGTTAAAACAGAAGTCACCTCCATGCTTGATGGAAACATTGTACGGGAGAGAATACGATATATCTGTTATTTAATCTCAGTAACAGCGTCTATTATCAACTAGCATAGCCTACTGAATGTTTACAAAACCTACCGCGAAACTGTTTAGATAGTTTCCTCATATCAGTTAATATTTTTAGTTTAAGCCAGCCATTGACCGTCCTTGGGTGTAAAGATGGATGTATCGACCTGTTTGAAGTCTCTACTGTTGGCCATTCGTCAGTACAGAAATAACAGAAGCGCATTAAATGCATCACAGCTGCAGAAACACATTGAAGTGAGTGAAAACATTTATCTGTGGGGTTATTGAAAACACAGTTTTATTTGTGTGATCTATCCAATCATTCAGTCACCTTCAAGTTAAGTCCAAAAAGTATTTTAATTCTTATGTGAAACACAAAAAGAGATGTTAGGGAATGACAGTCAACAACCCCTTAATTTCTTCGTTTAACGTTAACGTTACATACAATGAAAGTGAATGGTGACTGAGGCTGTCATTCATCTCCTTTAATGTTTAGGAAGAAAAAAAAAGGTGTTTCTTAAATATTCAACATCATTTTTCTAGTTATATTCAAAAAAATTGTTTTTTAATCTTTTGGATGCCACAAACCCCCAAAGGACTGAAGGACCTTCATACTAAAATTAAAAAGCAGCTGTATATTATTTTATGTATAAAGACCCCAAATTAATATTATAAATATGGTTAAAAATATTAGGAAAATATTTTCTATTGGTATTTTCTATTGTTATTGTTAATGTAGTTTCTATTGTTACATAATTTTTTTCCAGCACACTATAGTACTATACTGTTTTATTTATTACTTTAGGCCTATTATTTGTTTATTCATTTGCTTATATATATATATGCTTTTCTATAAATTGTGAATGATGCAATCTCTTTTCTGTAATAACAGATGACTGGAAAAGACAGAAACTGGGTCATTAAACAGTCAAACCCAGTGTGGTCAGAAGTGACAAAGAATGTGTCATTTTACACGTCATTTTTCCTTTAATATAAAATATCCAACATTTTAATTGCTATTTTTAATTCCAAAGGATGTTTCAGGGCTGAAATGTGGCGGAGTGCTGTTTTCAGGTCAGGTGCTGCCCAGCGAGTGTCTGAGTGGACTCATGGAAGTAGCTGGAGATCCCAACACCAGTCACGCACTGACGGGATCCATTATATCCCTGCTGGCACAGTTCGGTACTAAACCCTTTAATGTAGTTCCACAGTCAGTTTATAGTCATATCACCCGTTATTTACCCATGCATGTACATTTATTAATGGCCCAGCAGCTTCTGATGGTGAGGCTAAAGAGGCTCTTCACAGCAGCTACAACTTCACCGGCACTCTGGCATCCATAATCCACTGCAACAGAAGCACACCAGAAGAGCCTCTTGTGCTGCAGGTGAGAGTACTGCAGTTTTTTAAGATGAAGTCTACACTTCACAAAACATGCTTTTTTTTGAGTGCATATTTTTATAACTGGTCAAAAAATGTTTATATGATGATGTGACTTACACTACCATTCAAAGTTTAAAATAATTAGCTTTTTATTTTAATATATTTTAAAATGTAATTTATTCCTGTGATGGCAAAGCTGAATTTTTAGCATCATTACTCCAGCCTTCACTCTCGCATCACATGACCCTTCAGAAATCATTCTAATATTCTGATTTGGTGCTTAAGAAGTTAATCTTTTATTGGTTTTGAAAACAATAGTGTTGCTTATTATCTTTGCAGAAACCGTGAATAGAAAGTAAGAACAGCATTTATTTAAAATAGAAATCTTTTGTAACAATGTAAGTGCCATTACTGTCCCTTTTTGATCCGTTTAATAAATCCTTGCTGAATAAAATTTGTAATTTCTTGTAAAATGTATATAAAACTTTTTTTCTGACCCCAAACTTTTGAATGGTAGTATATGAATCACTTTATTAAAGTTCGCATGAAATCAAAATGTACTCTATTTACTTTGTTAGCGCATGTTGCTAGTCTTGAGGCAAACAGTTAATCCGTGCAAGTTAATCCACTGAAAAAAAAAAATGGATTTGGTAATCTTTAATCAAAATCTGAAAATTTGTTTTGTCAGTTTGACGGCTTTTATCCTTAACCACTCCCCTCCAACTGTTAGTTTGCTGTGAACGAGCAATGTCAGGGAGGTGCGCTAAAATAAAATTCTGCGCACTATTAAATATTTCGTTTTAGTTGGAAATACATCACTATACTAATGTCAAGTCGGTAGCAATTTCCGGTTCACACAGAATTTAAATGTCACAAGATATTTTTCAAGGTGGTTTTATTTCACTACGTTTAGTTAAAGTTATCCAAAATGGATGGATTAAAAATTAAAGATGACTTTGGATATTACTTTATGTGGTCATGTGAATAATGTCTCCAATGCTCTCCACAGTGCCTTAATGTGCTGCAGCGACTGACCTACAGTGTGAGGACTCAGCATTGTGCCTCTCACATCCATGAACTCATCAGCTTCCTAATGCAACATGTGTAAGACCCACAACATTCTCTGCTTTATGCATAGATGTTTGTTTGATGTGCAGTACCGTTCAAAAGTTTCAGAAAATTTCAGAAATATATCAGTACTTTTACTCAGCAAGGGTGCATTAAATTTTTCAAAAATGAGAGTAAAATCATATGTCTGTTTTAAATGAATGTGGTTCTTCTGAACTTTTTATTCTTTAAAGAATGTATCACAGTTTCCACAAAAATATTAAGCAGCACAACTGCTTAATATTTATTAAGCACCAAGTCGGCATATTCGAATGATTTCTGAAGGATCATGTGACACTGAAGACTGGAGTAATGATGCTGAAAATTCAGCTTTGCCATCACAGGCATAAATTACATATTAAGAAAAGTAATTTTAAATTGTACTAATTTTGCGAACAATATTACTGTTTTCAATGTATTTTTGATCAAATAAATGCAGCCTCTGTGAGCATAAAACTTTCACTTTCAAAAAACTTTTTATTTGCATCATGGAAAGTGTACATGATGCAAATAAATTTATTATTAAATTATTTTTCTTGCCACAGTGTATACAATATAATAAATACTAAAACTGTTCATGTCTTAGGTATGTAATAATCATCATTGAGGGTCGTAAATACAATCATGATATTGACAAGTGGTCACGAGTCTTGCCTGTGAAAAGGAAGCTGTCATGCTAGAGGTTGTGTAGTGGAAAACCACAACACTGAACTGAAACATAGTTTTTACTTTTAATCACAGAGGCTGGGTTTATAGCAGCACCCTTTATAAGGTGCAATATGCATTAAACTATTGCACAGCAATGGTTATGCATGCAAAAGTTAACAGAATTGTGAATTTGATGCAAGTATACTAATAAGAACATAGTTTTTATTTATTTATAATTAAAAACTATGCATAAAATATAATGCTTTTTATGATTGTCTTTAGCCAGTCAAGTAATGATGACATTGTAAAGGCCTGCTTGGGCCTGATGGCCAACCTCTGTCGACATGACATCTCTGTGCAGTCACACATCAAATCTCAGGTCAGAACCGGCATCATGATGAACTCTCAGTATGAACTCTTAGAAGTTTTGTTAGTGAACTAACCTGCTGATGACTATTATACCTACTCTTTTTTTTCAGAGTAATGTGAAGGCTTTCTACAGAGCCTTGATTAATTTCCTGGGTCACAATCGTCTGACTGTGGTCGTGTTTGCGCTGTCCATATTATCAAGTTTGACTCTAAATGAAGAAGTTGGGCAGAAGGTAGGGTTGAGATGTAGCGCTGATGTTGGTTAGCTCGCATATCTTTTTCATCATTTTGTCTTGTGGCTGGAAACTTGTGGCCCTGTACTTATTTTCCATTTGAGGTTGTGTTTTTTTTCTTTTGTAGCTGTTTAATGCAAAGAACATTCATCAGACCTTTCAGCTCATTTTTAACATCACCGTCAATGGAGATGGCACATTAACCAGGAATTATGCTGTGGACTTGTTAGTGGATCTCATGAAAAACCCCAAAATTGCTGATTACCTGACCAAGTATGTGTTTATCGGTGTCTGATGGTACTGTTTTAAATGGCTTTCTAGCACAGTCAGAGTATCTTTTTTTTCCTCATGCTAGGTATAAACACCTCTCAGTTTGTCTGGCCGAGGTTCTTGGGCTATTGCACAACAAAGATCCTGATACTGCATCAAAGGTCAACTACATCATTTTTTCATAAAATTTTCGTTTTGTCAAGTAATTCATTTTTTTTAGGCAAAATATGTTTAATTTCAAACCTTTAAACATTAGCTTGTAGACCAAAAGGTCTTGAATTCTTGTCCAAGCTGGTGCAGATAGTCATAAGCTCTTGTCTGTGCAGGTTATGGAGTTGCTGGTTTCTCTGTGCTCAGTCCCTGTCCTGCGTAAGCTCGTCTGTGAGACGGTGCTCCGACCTCCAGCCCCTCGACTGCAGCCTGGTACTAGAAAATGTGTTCAGGCTCGAGGGTCTGAACCGAGTTTAGCACTCGTCCACTGGGTTACGTCACCTCTGGATGGTCCAGAGCAGTGCTACATGCAGGCTCTGTCTCTACTGGCTGAGCTTTTTGAAGTATGCCTATGTTTCAATTCAATTTATTCGAATAATCCTTTTC